TTATTCCCACTCCTTCTTTGCATGCTAGAAATTCCTCTGTCATGAAATCAAAAAACTTTGGTTTATAAAAACTGCCTGGTGGCATAACTGGTTTGTTTTGCCCTTCTATTAATAAAAATTACTTACTTTTTACTTGTTGTTAATGTGATTGTGTCATTAAATATAACAAGATGTAAATAAGAATTAAGTAATTAATTGCTTACTTTTATAAGTTGAATCAAAGTAAAGTGGACGTTCATAAGCCATTTTGACTCCAAAAATTGCACCTCTTTCTTCAAGTACAGAATACAGAGGTGAACAACGTAGGTTTCGAGCATATTTATACTCACACTGATGAGGATACAAAATTGCATAATTTCTCCCAACAATTTCCTTTGTTCTTTGTTGTAAATATCTTTTACTGCTATGTAAATCTAGAAATCTTTGTACATTAAAAGGAAGTATTTCTTGTGTAGATTCACCATTTATTAGGCATTCAGCAACTTCTTTGCCTATTCCTCCTGCCCCTAAAGAAATATGACTTTAATAGTATCAAAGATTTAACATCTGTTATTCTTTACCTTGTAATGAACTTCCATTCATGCCAACAGCAACAAAATAATTCTTTACTTCTGGACTTTCTCCTAGTATCCATTTACCATCTGGTGTAAAGTTATCTGGACAATTATATACATTTGGTTGTATACCTTTTAAGAGTGGTAATCTGTGTACTACTTTATCCCATAAAGGTTTCCAGTATGAAGTATTAACTGTAAGATGGTTTTTCCAATCTTTTATTGGAACAACACCATTCTCGAATGCAGGCTTTGATTCTGGTTCAAACCATCCAATTAATAAACCTCCTGCAAATTTATCCATTCAGTTATTTATTCCATGGCTTATTAAACCTCATGTAATGCGCTAATATGTTAAAGACTTTGCCACTCCCTCATATATGAGTATGAATCGAAATCACGTATGCATGGTAAAGCCGTGTTTGTATTAAGTGGAAACGGAGGAATAATTGCATAAAAATGTTCTGCAGGATATGCTGGAATTCTAACTGGTGGATTACATTTTAATCCTAATTCTCGTGCCCACTATAATTTGAAAACTTGTATAAGAAATAACATGAAAATTATTTCACATCCCTAAAGTGATATTACCATTCCTGCACAATTAACAAAATATTCACAAGAAACTATTCCACGGTCAGTTTTTACACTTTTTATAGCTCGATTTTCAGTGTGAACTTCTTGTATATAACAATTTTCAATGTATTTTGCTCCTCCAATCATTGCCAATTTAGCTAGAACATCACAAATTGCGCTACAATTAGCTACTGCATCTTCAGGAACCCAAAGTGCACCTTCAAGGTCTTCAGTATGCAAATATGGATATAATCGTTTTAATTGATCTTTTCCTAAAATCTAATGCATTTATAGCTTATTAAAAGTTTCTTTCATATTTCAATTTCAAAATCTGGCTGAGAAATCTTACTTCACAATTTAAACCTGTGGGTATATTATAAGCCATTCTTCTCTTCAAAGCTATCATTCTGTCTTTGGTTTGAGCTAAGTATATACTGCCACATTGCTTTAAACCTATGTCATATCCCATTTCTTGTAATTGTTGATACAACTTAATGCTGTAGGATATTAGATTCCTATGTGATATTGGTTTGAAAAGACCAAGTGTGCCGGAACCAAAATAGGATGTTCCGCTTCCAATCCTATGACATAACATTTTTTAATTATTGTACATTATAAATATTGATAACTTTAATAGTTTCTTAAATCAATAGCCTTTATAATTTTAGTGATACAAATATGTAATGTAAACAAAAAAGTTTATAGTGTTATTTTAAAAATTAAAAATTTGTTATTCACTGTTCTAGCATTCATTAATTGTTTCATTTGATGTAAATGTACATATACCTGTTTTGTTCCAGAACAAGTACATCATTCCATCCATTATTGACAAGATGATAAGCAACAGAATTAGCCACTGTTCCTGCACCCGCAATGACAATTTGCGATTGCGAGGGTAACGTTGTATGGGGTTGAAATTGAAAATTTTGGTCAAATTTCCTACGACTTTTACTTCTGTCTCTTTGATTAAGTTTAAATATTCCATTTTTGAAGGTTATATCAATTGAATAATTTTTGCAACCTTTTGAGACTACTTTCTGTAATAATGTAACATAAATACATTTTGAACTCGCGTGTTGCAGCATTAAATTACGTGGAAGGTAATAACTGCGTCACTTGTTCACATAACATGCAAAAAACAGAATTCCAAAATGTCTCCACTGCTAGAACGTTGGTTCTATTATTAAAGTTAGGAATATTGGGTCATAATGGTGTTTTTTCAAAAATATAAATTATCCTTTCAAAGGAAAATAAGTGGCGCTGTACATTCGTATAATAGCTTGATATGTTAAGATTTTCACTTATTAAAATTATAATATTTTGGTAGATAAAATTATTTTTCATACAGATCACTTTTTAGTTATTTTAACGTGAAATAATTACACAAGATTGATTTACTTATAATTTTTTGATTTAAAATGTTATTGTATTATTTAAGTTTTTAATAAATTTCCCGCCTAAATGTACTTGATCGATAAATCGAAATGTTTCAATCTCGACTACTCTCGATAGATATATTGATATTTTCGAACCTCTTCGATACAGTTCGATAAAATTCAAAATGGGAGCGACGTTAGATCTTCGGTTTTTATCAACATGAATTCCTCCATAAATTTAAGCGTTTCTAATTGTTATTCGTGTGCTTTTGATAACTATTTTTGTTAGGAACAGCTATTAATACAAAATTGCTCATAATGTGGTTCATATTATTCGCAGTTTTTACCTTTAAACTAATGTGTATTTTTATCTTTGTTATCTATTGCGTTGTCACTTTTCTTCTGGTTATGGTAAGAATTTTTTTATTTGCTCTGATTGACAGTATTTTATGCTAACTAATAATGTTATTTGTAACAAAGTATAATGCTCAAACTGAGGAACTGAGAAGATGTGTAAGTTTATTAATGCAATTTTCTCTTACATCTTCTTCAAAATATTCTATTGTTGTAACATAAATTGTGTCTTTTAGATCGTACCCCAAGATACAAACTTGGATGTGAAATTTCCGACTGGAGTTAGTTAAAGGAAGCTTTTCTTAATGAAAAGTTAATACTAGACTGCGGATGTTTATGCAATTTCATATCTTTATGTATGTAACTAAAACAGTGGAACCTGAATAGAAATTTCTTCTATTCATTATAAATATTATATTGAGCGCATTGCCTTGAATTACATACCCATACGTATGTATATTTTCTATATTATGTGCATTCCGAACACATATTGACTTTTTTGAATTTTCTATAAACGCATAAACATCCATACATATTATCTACTATCATACTACATTATATCGTATTTCTTCATCATATTTTTAAATTTTTCGTTACTCGTAACTTCAACTTCTAAAAATGCTGACGATTGCTTATTTTATTAGAGTCGCGAGAGCGTAGATGATAAATTGGAAGTGTTAACGGAAAAGCTTACAGAAAAAGAACGCGCGGTGAGAAAATAATTCGTCATTTTGCTTTAATTCAATTTTTTATGAAAGAAATATTATTAGTTTTGTAATACTCATAGTTACAGAAATCGCAATGTGAAATAAAAAATGCAGAAAAGGCGTTAACTGATCTGGAAAATAAAACATCGTCCTGCCGAGATCGATATCGCTCGTTGATGATCGAATTAAAAAAGGACATTCGAGAAACTGAGGATGAGGTTCGAGTAACATATAATTAAAAAGAATGACGATTTAGTTTCATATAATTATAATTACATTTGATAGGTGAGAACGCTGCAAAATCAAATATCGAATTTATCGATTCGACGAGAAGCTCTTAGGAGCGAGGCATTAAAGGTAGTGTTTCTATCTTGTTAAAATTAGTAACATATAAAAATAATAAAAGTCATAATTTTTAATGCAATTGTAGCAACAAGAAGATTATCAGAAAATGCTGAGTGGGTTTTCCAAGGAATTGGAAAGTAAAAAAACATTATTCTGTATGTTATTGCGAAATATTCTATTTTGTTTAAAAATAGATTTTCATTATTTTAATTGGCGCTTTCAATCTATAGCTTCTGGTATCGAGAAATCAAGACACCATCGTGTGAGTTGTTTCAGTTTACCATGAAAAATTTCATCGACTTTTCTGTATATATAATAATTATTTTTAATCAAAGAACAAAAATTAGAGTGAGTAATTAAAGAGTGCCACTAAATGTTGCTTTGTCGAAAATCGTCGTAGTATCGAATGATTAAGAAAAGAGCTTTTTTTTCAATCGGATCATAATTTTTATTTAATAATCACAATATATACATTCGAGTAAATGATCAGTATGGAAGTTCCTTTGCGTTCAATCGTATGGTACAAATTAACATTGAGAAATTAAAATTTAATTCGAGTGACAAATGGATTTCGATTACGCGTATAAATTATACTTTTCGGATTGAGACAAAAAATGCAAAATAGATTACATCTATTTTATCAATTAACGTATTGATTGCCGATGATTGTAGATATTTTCGATGAAGTAGATAATTTTTAAAGATAACCAGGACACTGTACTAAAGTTTAAACATTAAATAATATAGAACGTATTATATGATAAGAAAGTAAAGCAAGAATCAAGAATCATGAAAGTAATTTTTACAAGCAGTACGATATATCGAAGTCAGAAGAATACTTAATTCTTAAAACAGACCTCTTTACTTCATTTTGTTTGGAGATAGAAAAAATATTTTATATACTCAATTTATTGAAATGAGAATAAAAATAAGGAGGTCACATAGCTTTTTTAAAGTATTCCTTTCTATCTCAAAATTTTATTTGAGTGCCTTATTCTTCATAACCATGGAATTACATGTTCATACAAACTCTCCAAAACGAATAGTGTTGAGAGATGTTTTAAGGCATTTGTTTCTTTCCCGATGCATTGTGATAATTTTTCAGTAACTGAATTTTCTTTATGAGAGTACAGTTCCTTGCGAAATGTGTAGTGAACAGAGAAGGAAGTATTTTTCGATTTGAATGAACGCTATAAAATATTCGTTGAGCTTGTTAAGTGCACATGAAAGGAACTTTCCTGCTATTCTGTTCGTTTCTTAAATTCTTTCTACCTTGTTCTCTTATTCCAGACATTTCATTATTATATCCCAGAGGATAGACAGATATTTTTAATATCAAACGAAATCACCAGCCGGTATACTTCTTGAGAATTGGGCAAGAAGTTTGAGATCTTTGGACACATCTTTTTGCTTGTCATCTATTGATCGTAAAAGAATATATCCAAATTGAACAATTTGCCAGCACAAATTCGCCAGTGTAAAAATTTTTCCATTCTTATCCTGCAAATTATTACGGTAGTTTATATGACATTACTGAAAAAAACAACCAAAGATATGGTTTTAGAAAATGAAGATTACCGTCTGTTTATAATTCTGTATGAGATGATGGAAATTTTTTCAGGACTGCATGATAGAGATTGTAAAAGGCGTAGAAACTGATACTCAAGATGACGACGAGTGCCGAGCCGAATATCCAAGATAAAAAGTAGCCATCTATAATATCCGAGGTCTCCTTTCTCTTCCTTGCGCTGATCTCACCCAGGGTGGTACCCCGCCGCTCTTCCATCAATCTCTTCATGTTCGCCAATTTCGCTCGTAGTTCGTCTACTGATTCAGCGATGTCCTCGATCGAATCACATTCTGGTAAATCTAAAACTTGGACGAATAAAGTATAAATCGGGAAATATGGACGTCCAAACGCATAATCGAATAATTTACTCCAAAACACTGTCACAGAAATTTTTCGTTTTGAAGGTATTTTAAAAGGAAATTATTCATTATCAATGATTAAAAGGATATTAATTTTATTTATGGTAATTCACAAAACAATAGAATGGAGAAAATGGAAACATTTAAGGTAAAATGTCATTTTTCTTTTGAGAGAAAAGTGCAGAGATTTTTGGAACATTTTGTTAGATGATTTAAGTTGTACCTTTTTTGAAGGATATTTTTAATCGAAGCTACGGCTACTTACCCGTAGTTCCTGGCGTGCAAGTGTGCGTTACTGTTTTCATGATACTCGTCTCTATCTTTCTTGACTGTATAACTTGGTCCAAAATACGACTCAGAGGTCGGTATTGATCATCCAGCATCCCACGCTGTAGCACAGTCTCCATCTTTCGGAAAGTTAAGCCCTCTAGATTTTTTCCCTCTCTTTTGACTTGATCAACATTATCGCGTTCAGTAACGATAAATCTTCTCTTCGAACTTTGAAAATAAACATTCCTATCGATTGAAGATTCGAGTTTTGGGAGTTAATTAGTTCAAGGGTTAAAGAAGAATGAAGCTTTCTTTGAATATTTATTGCGTTACATAAAATGCTTTAACTTAATATTTACAATTTCTCAAAATAATTCATATTCTTTATTGTTTTAAATATTAATTAAGATATATATATTAGTTTTGAAATAAATGAAATGTGATTGATTTAATACATTGTCGACCGTGCGGATTGGGCTCGACTATGTACAATATGTACATACGTATATAGATTTATATATACATATATATTTTTCTATTACCATTCTAAAATTTAAGTAGCTTACACAATATGTCTGAAAGTAAAAATATATTATATAATTTAACATTTGTCTGAAGTATGATGACATTCAAAATAGAGAATTTAATAACACAAAATTGACAAATATATCCTTTGAATTCTGTGGTGCGCCATTACTTTTTATAGGCACTGTATATTATATTTATACTAAGAGAGAGAATTAGAGTTGACAATGAATATGATTACAGACATAAGAAGAAATTTAATTAATACAGGTTAATACAAATTACAGATATCATTTGAAAATCGCTTAATTTAAAAGGTCATTTGGATGTCCCGCGTTTCTCATGTGGCGGTATTCCGTAACTGTGGTGCCACAAGCAATCTGCAATTTCATCGCAGTTTGTAAACGCGGCGGAGGAAAGTCGTACGACATTCGGGCGGAGTCGGGCGCACTTTCGAGGACGAAGGCTGACGTCACGGCGCAAAATGGCTGCTGGTATCGGAAATGGAGTAGCGTAGAGGCTGGGCGGTAGGAACGAACTGTAGGTGTGTCAGTACTCGGCTTCTCCGCGATAATGCCATCGAAATGCCGATTGTTGCACGCTGACTCGTGCCTCGCGCACTACTCTTACGTACGATCGGGATCGTTCCGCGAGTCTCGGATGGTGATAATAAATGGTGAAATAGTCGGCGAGTCAAATTAAGCGGTGCAGCCCGAACTTCACGATATATGTACATATATCTCTTTATCCCGTAAAACGAAATTTCTTCTGTTCTTAATCTATCAGTGATCTATATACATAAATATATACATTTGAATATCTGAATAGGCTGAAACTGTGTCTGAATGAGATCGAAGTGGAAAGTAAACCTTGGTCTGTCCAGTGATCGTTCTCGTGCTCTTCACGGATATTTTGCGGGTGTCAGACTGATTTGCCCGGCTCCAGGAGAGAGTCGAGCGTGCATCGTGGGTGTCAGCTATTTGTCGACTCTGTTCTATCGAAAACTAGTTCACGTATCTTGGAAATGAGTGAAATGGAAAAGAAAGACGCGTGCACGTAGAACATATAAAGGATAAGTATGCTCAACGTACGGTTCCACAGTGGGATCTAATTTACGATCTGTCAAAACCGAATCAACTCAACCAACACGTCGTACACGTATTTATATCGTATTTATGGTGAAACTAAATCGAGCGTCTGCACCGAATCATCCTTCCTATCACGATACGAGCCGATCGATTTTTCTCAAGGGAAAAATATTCTACTCGCCTACGACTTTTATCTCGACTGTGTGTGTATATTTTCGCACATCGATTGATCCCCTTCCGTAAACAATATTCAGTTGATAACAATGTATCATCCGACGGTGGAAACGGGACACGAGTTTGAATGACGGTGAACAGGCTCGTGGCTAGAGTGATGTTGAACTTGGGACTGAATAAATTATTCGAGCGATGATTTCGCCGGTAGCTTTTAGTTAAAGAAACAAACAAACAAAAAAAAACAGTGGAGAGACACGGATTTCTATCGAGTGAGACAGAAGAATAGGAAGAAAGAAAAACATCAGATTGCTTGAAAATTCTTAGTGGTTAAACGGTACGCCATTGAAGAAGAAATATAATACACATAAGAAATACTCCCGACGCGTGGATGTCGTTAGAATCGACGAAACGTTGTAACACACGGAAAGAAAGAAGTAGATAGGAGTTTGACCTGATAAGACGAGGAAAATCAAAGAGAAAGAAAGAGAAAGCGCCGTCAAGCGAAGAAAATCGCGTTGGGAAAATGACTAACTGAAAAGCTCGAAACGAACTAAAAGGTACACATGTACATACAGATATAGATATACAGTGGCTCATGGGCATATTCGAATACTTCTGGATACTTTTTATGAATATATTATATGTATTATACTTCTGCATTTTGAGATTTTATTAACACTGTTACAAGATTCGACTATCGTGGTTTTATTGATAAAGTTTGAAACGAATTTGAAAATGTACTATATATACATAGAAGTTACAAGACACGTATTGCAAGTACATGTTTCACACAGATCATGGATATGTTTAAACAGTTACTGCGTCTATCTTTAACATTATATATACTTAAGATAGCTAATCATGCTATGTACTAATTTTCCATTAAGTATCTGTGGTAACTTCCATGTACATTTTCAGATTGGTTCCAACTTTGATCAATATAACCTTTTGCGGATTACCGCCGCATATATGAGTAAACTGTCAATTTGGCCGAGGAACTCATATATGTGCTTGGCGAAAACAACTGATAGAGCTGAAAGATTCATATATGTGTCATTTTATTTATCCTGTGGAGAATCTGTGCATGTACATATGTCTAAAATTTGACATCTTGGAGTGCTATGAATGAAAATCGCGTCTATGCAGAAATGTGCGCTGGCAATCTTAAATGACTATCGCGGCAGCAGCTCGGCCCTATGGCACGGTTGACTTCGAACCGTCCCGTCCGCAAAGGGATAGTCACGACTAGACGGCAGATGTTTATGCATTTATAGAAAATTTAAAGATGTAAAAGTGTATAGAATGAATGTAACATGAAAAAATATATAAAATATGAAAAGTAAAGAGCAAGTTATAATATTTAGTATGTGAAACATATCTCTATGCAGGTTTTATTTTTTTGTCATTTTGATAAAGATATGATTTTGCATAAACATCTGTAGTTTAATCATGGCAGTCTTTTATTACAATGCTAACTAAATTTCAACCTGTTTTATATAACACATACAATATATACTTAAAAGTTTTCTATATAATAGCTGTTCAAATACTTCCGTGAACCACTGTATATATGTATACATATATAAGTGCTTATATATATACATATATCTATATGTGTACATAGATATCGGAAGCGGAAGGCGGCTTTCGTTGCCATTGGCGCGCACGCGAGTGTCCATATTATATCCGGCGCGCGTGTTTCGTCTGTTTCTCATTTGCGTGTATATTTGAAGTGGAGTTTCAGTGCCGGAGGGTGAGAGAGAGTAGTAGGATACGCAAAATGTGGAATATGATGTGCGACGTGATGCCGACTATCGCGGAGGACAGCATTAGCCAGAGAAGTTCGCAATATTCCGGTGAGGATGCGAACTTCGAGCAACTAATGGTCTCGATGCTCGATGAGAGGGACAAGCTGGTGGAGTCGTTGCGCGAAAACCAGGAACGGTTGCAGGAAACGGAAGCGCGTTTGCAGGAGGTCGAGAAGGAACGGGACTCATTGAATCGTCAATTGAACGCCAATATCCCTCAGGTATGTTGTGACGTTCGTTTATATAGTTTTCTTATCTATAAAGGAGAAGGTTATATCGAAGATCATATAGAATCTCAAGTTGTTTTTAACCCCTAATTTCTGCCTAATTCAGACGTGGAAAATTTGAATGAAAAAGTATACTTTTCAAAGTTTCAATTTTATGATGTACTTACAGTATGGTATTTTTCATTCCTTTATTCTTATTGGTTGTATTGTACACGATAAAATAAATTGTTTTCTGGTTAATAAATTAACAAGATTTAATAAAAAAATGATTATAGAAGTTACAAATATAATACTCATTCAGAATCGGAGTATTCGTTGCAAGGTCTATAATTCACGCTTTTGACACTGGATTTGTTTCCATTTGGACTACTATACTAGAATTAGAACCTAATTCTATATTATCTTCCTATATATGTATATATGTATGTATTTAAATGATTCCATAATAATCAACAAAATAAGGTTACAAATATCTATTTGTATTTATAAATAAATAAAAAAACTTGTATAATAAAATTCTTCTTATAACAATATTCATGTGCTTTTTAGCTACTTTAAACAAATGGACTACTCATAGTATTGATGTCCAGAATAGAAAATCTCTAAATCTAACAAAAATATCTGGAAGCACTTTAGAAGAATAAACACGTCTGAAATTCGTCACTTGCTTGTATCTCTCATTTGTTTACGTCTATTCTCTATAATTTGACTACATAATGCTACACAATGCTTGGCAGTTGTATTATTACTTTTATTATATGCTTCCCATATACCAGCAGAATTTTATATTGACACCATTCTTCTCTAGTGTAAACGTCCATAATTTTCTACATTTTAATTATCTTCGACAGAAACTAAGCGATTGGAAAATGATTAGTCGTAGTTGGTGCGTTTGATCTACGAATTGTTACATACGAATGACGACTTATTTATTCCGTAGCATATACAGGGTGCGCCAGAATAAACGATCAACGCGTGCCAATGTGTTCTGTGAGTGGAATAAGAAAAATTATACTCGCTATATTGATACGAGAAATACTCCATTGTATATGACCGTAAAAGAAGGTATCGAAGATCTAATAAACGTGAAAGATTCGTTTCCTCTATGCTTTTGTTAACGTATAGAGACTATTTCTCTCAATTTCTTAGAGTTTGAATCGACGATGACAATCTGTTGGTCTTATACTTATCTTTGAGAATATCCTATATTTAGCTATTATTACTTTATTGTCAGAGGTGTTTCTTAGATAGATTTATTTTTTATTAGCTAGATAGATATCTGTTTGTGCAAGATTTAAAAAAATGAAACAGGTTTCCTCGATCACTGTTTCAGTGAAAAATTCAATATAACTGAATATTTCATTTGAGACGTATTCTCAGTTTCTTCTCAATCCCGAGAAAGATAACAATTTTTGCTATTTGCAACGATGTACGTTGACGTTATCGCTTTTATTGTAACCTGTATCACGTAGTTGTTCAAATTTCTTCGTTCTAACTGAACGTGTACACAAACTTTTATTGCCTATTTCTATTTCTTCTCGTCCTATTGCTCAACCTAGATAAAGAAGAATTTAATGATGCTATAAAAGAAGACAAATAGTAATTATACGTAGCTGAATATGTTAATAACAGGTTCACATATAATTCTATATTTCAATTATATTATCGAACAAAAATTACGACTCGAATCGTAATATATTAATGAAACTATTTACTTTTAGCGAATAACGTTGAAGAAGAGGTGACCGCGATGTTAGAACGGGTTATTCGATTTAAGCCGATTCGACGGAGCTGGATCAGCACGCGTTAACCTGCTCGATTAACGGGAAAGCACAGATCAATATTTGCCTGAAGATAAAGCTGTCAAACGGTTCCCTTTTATCGTGAAAGTTGGTTAGAAAAATTATCCGCTCGACTAACTAGTATTCAACTCACTCATTATATATATTTCTTTCATTAAAGTAATTGTAAATTTTCTTCTGACAGAATTACTAATATATTACGTGTGTCACACAGAACATTTTGAAATTTCATTAACTCTGTAATGAGACACAAGTGATTATATCATGATTATACTGTTGAAAAATAAGTAAAATTTTGAATATTTATTGCAAGCATATGTTTAGTAACAAAAACTAGTATACACAGCATGAATAGTCGTCTTATAAATTATAATGAGTATTACAAATTCTCACTGTATATTGAGGCTTATTACGATACTGGATATGAATAAGATTATTTAAATATTTTTATGTCCTCTACGAAATATATACTTGCATTAAATACATTGTACCTTCTGTACATTTCAAACCTCACCAATATATTCATTGTTTGTACAACGTGCATAATATATTCATCAAAAGTTTGTATAGCTATTCAAATACTTTATAAGCCAATATATGTATATTTACTATCGCGGAGTATATACGAGAGAGTACCACTGGCTTTTTTAATTGCACGATATGTGGCCGACTATGGATCTTTAATTGCCGATGCGTTTACGTAATGATTACGGTAGAAACGTTTCAACCGACACGTTATCTTCGTAGTGTTCCACTTTTCAAGAGAGAGAGAGAATGAGAGAGAGAGAGAGAGAGAGAGAGAGAGAGAGAGAGAGGAGACAAGAGAATACAACGTTATACCGGCCACGGCTCGACCAAACAATGCTTTGTTTTATTATTGCCACCATGAGAGTACGAGTTTGTGTAGGAATGTTTAAATTGTCCGTCAGATGACAAATCTTGAACCTTTGACAAGAGCTGAGGAAATTCTGACCGAGTTGAATTTCATTGTTCGGAATATAATTAAGAGTTCACTTTAGTTTTGATGTATCACTCTTCTGTAGGATATTTGTTATGAATAACGACAATTCTTTGTTATCTTTTTATGAAAGTGTTCAGAGAATAAATCATGTATCAGATATCAAAGAAACATTATATATTTAGTATAGTGTAACATTGTGTTATGGTTAGTTTATTATTTTATCTATTATATTAGTCTATTCGATTATGTCACGATACCGTGAATCGTGCAAATTGCTCATTCTTTGTATCTCATATCATCGGTTCTCCTTCCCACAGGAGAATGACTCCCAGTTATCACACGTAATTGCACGTAACATTCTTCGTTATCCGTGAAGCCTCTAGGCTATATATGCTTGTATATCGTCTGGAAGAAATAACGTTAAATTAAGTTAAATTAAGTCGATTGCAGTAGAATTAAATCGTTAATGTGCTATAATTTTATTTACGTAAAGTAATACGAAGTAGTTATCATTTAATAATCCTATATTACATATTCAAACTTTACCATTTAGATATTAAAAGAGAAAGACATAAATTAAAGAGAAATAGAAAAATCTTTGAAAGAAGATTTTGTAAAGCATGAAATAATCTAGAAAGGAAATTGTGTATTGAAAAATGTTCTTGACATTAGAAAAAAATGCATCGGTGGACGTCTGAAGGCAAAAAAATAGGCAATTATGTGTAAAAAGAGGAAAAATGAGATAGTCGTTTAAGTAAAAGGCCAACGCGCGGGAATTTCACGCTTCTTGGAAACCTATTAAGGACGCAACGCTATGTTACGTATTTACTGATTGCAATACTTATTTCCTTGACCGGTGTACGTATTACAGAAACTATCTATTCAATTCTGCACAGCTGGGAAGGCCGGAGGAGGTAGAAGTTAGAATAATTAATATTCTTATTGTTAGAATACAACTCTAAGAATAAGAAACCAACTTCTTCTATAAGTTATATTGTAATAGTAATGTAATTTTGTTATTTATCAACGAACCAGATCGTTTAATTGCAAGGATAAAAGAGAATATAATAGTTTTGTAGTCGTAATTTATTTTTGTCTCTTCTCTACGCAATTTTCTCTCTCATGATACGTTGCTTTTTGTAGGTATAATGAAGAGATTGCCGATGAGTATTTGCATTGTAAAATTCATCAAGAAGGATGATTTTTGTGTGGTCTGAAGCGAAACGTGATGCGCACAGTCTGGAGGAGCAATATTATCTACTTTGTGGTCCAATTCCTAGCTATATATGCACATAACGGTAAACCGCCGGAAATGCACATAGATCTCGATGCAAACTCGTAGGTGGTGTATATATGTGCTCGTAACGCGGCGTCTTATTCACCTATTTCTCCCGTGAAATCTCTCCTATATCCGTGGAATGAATTTACGGATAAAAATATTGCCATGCTGGCTTTTCTCTAAACGGACAGTAAAGAAACTGAAAATACGCGAAATAACTCGTTATAGTATACAGTGTAATAGCTATCTTGCTTTAAAAAACACTTTTTACTATAACATATTTACCAAAATTATAATTTTATGTATGTGGGATAGACGAAGAGATTGTTTCCCAAGGCACAGGTCTCAGAAAAAAAATTTCCTGGCAATTATTTATTAAGCTTTCGCTGCGGCTGAAACGTGACAGCTTTCTGCAGAGTTTGGCAAGTTCCAATGAAAATTTATAAGCTGTACTGGCTTCGATAGCGTCTTATCTTGCCAGGAGCAGCTTCGAAAATACACACCGGCTTTATCGTTCAATTTAACCTTTGCTCGTTGCATGACATTTGCATTTCATAATGTATTCTGTTATTTATAAATTATAAATGTGAACGAGGAGAACGGTACCATTTAGATGCCTGCGACAGAAAACGCAGATGATGTATAAAAATTCCTTATCAGCGATAATTTCTCTGTTATATCTCGATAAATGCTCATTGAGGCGATGGCATTGCATTCAGAACTCCACATATGTAACGCCTGTATTGTATATGTAACTCCTGATATTGTCATACATTAATCTGTGATTTGTTAAGTTACTGCATGTTCTCCCACGAGATAATACGGAAATTTTGTTGGTCTTAAGTCAACAACGATGTCGTATGATATTGTTCAGCTATCGGTTTTTCGGAATTATCTCCTGAAGTGTTATTCATATAACTTCGCATGAAGACTGACTCACAATTGGGTACTGACATGTCTTCACATCGTGGAGTACCCAAATATCGAAAAATTGTATTTTAGATAAACTTTATCTTGATTTACATTTGATTCTTCGATTGAATTTTAGGTTCCAGAAAACCTAAGCAATTTTAAATGGAAACTCCAGTAAATTAAGACACTTTGCAGGGTTCTCTGTTATTGTTCGAGGGCGATCAACAGTTTTTAGGAAGAATGAGTATTTGGTCGTGAAGTGCGCGCTTTTCTAATCCTTTTTATCTTTCTCTTTCCTTACTGTGACTTGAAAGTCATTGTAAGGTACGAAGACCTTAAGAGAGAAGGCAGTGTACGTAAGGGAAAGAAACACAATGTGGAGCATCGATATATTCGTGGAATAAGGGAGAGAAACCGACGACCATATCGATCCAACCGTCGCCCGATTGGCTTTTATGTACGCGCCGGCATGTTATACGGGGTGTCTCTAGTAAACACCAGAATTGGAAATGATATAATTTCACACTGATAAAAAGGGGACAATAGTAACAATTTATTCTTCAGTAAATTCAATATGATTCTTAGGTTTCTTCTTGCAAAATGCAATTTTGTTGCATATTTATTAATGAAATACCATTACACTTCTGGTCCACAACTTGCTGTCAGACTTATTATATTGGATTGTTACAAGTATCAAATGATCACATCGTTTATTTGTTAGTATTTTTATGAATATAAATGAAGATTACAGTAGAAGAAACGTATACACATTATGTTTTCTTTCGCGACCTTCACATTTTAAGCTTCTTCTTCTTATTTATATAGTCTGATATAATTAATGTTATAAATTAAATGCTCTAATTGTCTACGATATGAAGATAACGAGAGAATTGAAGGACTCACTAATTTTCCACGAGAGAAAAATTTAATTTTGGAACGAAGTAAAACAGGGAAAATGTCGCAGTAACGTTTCCGGGCAGGAAAAGGAGAGTGCAGGGATCCTCGACGAATTTATGGTGATCGTATTATATATATTTGCATGCGGCACTTCGGCGTTGTCAAGCCCTCTGAAAATCCCTTCGCATTTTTTCACTGCAGGATTTCGTTTCCTGCGCGACCTAATGGCACGTATTCCCGAGACAAAGGGTAAAAATGAAACGAGAACGGATAATAAATGGCAGCTGGAGAGAGAAACGAACCGGCGACCCAGTTTCGTTATAGTTTCATTAACTATTCTCATTTACAAGTAAATTCGTGAGAGAGGAAGAGAAAAAAGAGAGACGCTAGAGGGAGGGGAGGCGGCTGGAAAGAAGTGACTTCGATTATGAACGATATTAAACTAGCATTTGCGGCCGTGTACTAAAGACTAATAGGGTTACTGATGATCATAATGAAATCTCGTAACTAACCGGTCATAGTTCAGTGAAGCCTCTCAGGGCTTGTAATTAATTGCGATTAGCAATGAAACAGCGAAACGGCGCCGATAAATTAATAGTGCTGCTGGTGCAAAATTGGTGGCCATGGGTTAATTTCAATCATTGCGATTTACCGACACGATGCCTGATACACTGACCTAGAATAATAAGATCAAACATGATCATTGATACGATTGAAAACCGGTGTGATACATTTAATATTAAAATTTTGCTATCTTGCCGCTATCTGAGTTAGACTGTTAGATCTATCGATTCGTTTTTATTTTAGTCTCCGTTAGTATCCGATTTCTCTGTTAGTATCACGTATTAGATATTTTTCTCATGTTAGATATGTTCTTTCTCTGAAAATTCGTCATGTTTCTATTCTTATTGTATCCTAATAGGTTAAAGTGTAATGTATTTTTATCAGCCTGGTCTCTCAACGTCTGCTATCCTACTGTATCTATTTTAGTATTTAATTTCTTTTTTAGATGAACTTCTATAAATAAGGATAAAGGACGAAGGAAAATACATGGAAAAATATGAGGAAGAAAATCGGCTAGGAGATTGATAGGCAGATGAATTATTTGGTTCAGGAGGAAATCTGAAATATAATTTGAAGGTGGGTCGAAGCTTCATTTAATTTTTGGACAGGGCGTACGTAAAAGCACAGAACTCTCTTCTTTTGAAGGGAAATCGTTCCTCGTGCGTGCTGCAGCTGCGGCCGCTGACTCGTCTCGTCATTAATTTCGTGTTACTGCCTCGGCATGCTTGTATCGAGTGCACGTTCGAATGGATTATCGATTCTTTCATCGTGCACAGCAAATGGCATCGAAACATACATACCTACAAGCACAGTAGCAAACAAAGTCTCAAAATATCCTGAAAATGTACATTTTTAATGAAATTTTCTTTCAACAATTTCGTTAGTTGGTAAATTGATATTACTTTCTATCATTACAATTATCTTCTATACTGGTTACTCATATTCATAATTAAAAATTGTATTTTAGGTAGACCATACTGTGTTTCAATAATATTTAATTCACGAATTTATGCAACAATATGCAAGCGAAGAAAAATGAAAACAATTATTCATCAAGGAATAACATAATATTTTTGTTAATACTGGAATTACCATGTGAGTCAACGCTATTTGTAAGTGCTTGACAGTATCTGAGCGCCCGTCACTTCAATTCAGATCACACTACACGGACGGTTTTAATACCAATTTCAGTTAATTCAGGCTCTTAATGTGAATCAGAGCGATTGAATTAAATTGAACTTTTAATATTACGTCCCCTCCTCTTCCTCGAGTAGTGAGGTAATATTGTTGTCTTTTTTCTGTGCAAACAACTAACTTCAAAGGAAGATTCTTTTATAAAACGTATGTACTTTGGTATAAGTAAAATTACCATTTAATTATCATTATGAGATAAAAAGCAACGATGAGATGTAAATTCTACATGGTTTCTCTCATTGTACAATATTTCCAAGAAGCAATCGGTTCTTTGTATCGATTAAATCGCTTAAATGGGGACGATCAGAGTAATGATTTAAAACCTGTATCAGCCATCGATTTTCCCTTCTTCTTTTTCATCCAGGGATCGAAAGGTGTTGAGTGTCAGGTTGTTAAGTGGTAGCTAACAACTCGAATTCTTCGGCTTCGTTGCTTCCAGTTGATTAGCAAGAGAAAATCGAACGCCTCCACCTGCATCGTCGCGAAACATCTGTTTGCTAATTGATTCGTATGTATTTCAGACCTCCCTGAACTATCTTCCAACCTAAATTTCTTCACAGAAATAAGAATATTATTTTCCCTGTTAATCTCTTAAAAGCTTGTTACGAGCTTGTCGAAACTTTTGTTACAATTTGGAAATTTTTATGGCGGTGGGCGTAGAATCATGATGTATGTGTAGCATATATCTTAATAGAAAGCAGAATTGTCAGGAATAATTGACTTTTTATATTTTGTAATTTCTCAGTAATTGAAAATTCCAATAATTAATAATTTCCCTCTTCATTTGGTCTAAACCTTAAAGTTCATTAAAAAATTCAAATTTTTATTAATTTTCTTCATACCTGTGAAAACTAGCTTGAGAAAATAAGAATTTGCATGTTCAATTTTCTAAGAAGTATATTACTATGCTGAATCCTTCTCGTATTATTCCATAATTGACATCTATAATAAGTAATAAGTCCTTCCTTATGTTCTTCTTCTTCCACCTTAAAAAATTAAATTTCATTTTTAGTCTCCACTTTGAAAGATCAATTTTTAACAAAAAGTGGTTTCAGATTATTATTTTAGAAACAACTTCTCGTACAGTGTATATATTTTGTTAGGAAACACATCGTGTATTTATCGACGATGTATCGCGTTCCACGCATATGGAGATTGGGTGTGGATCTCTGATGTAATGTGTGCTGGATTACAGGCTGTCTCAGAGCAATTGGAGTACGAAGGGCAGTCACTCGAGCGGCTCGTATTACGTGATTTCTGTTTTTGTCCTTCCGCGATTTTTTACCGACTCTTTCCCCTAAGTTTTTAAACTGAACATCCGAAGGTCTTCTTTATTATGGTAGAATCTGTTTCTTACATCGTTAGGTTTGATCCATGGGGATCAGTTAATCACGATGACCGATCAAACTGTGAAAACCTTTCTATATTCGATTTTGAAAGGCAAACATGATTTTACTTGTACTTGTCCTATCAAACATAAGAAAATCGATAGTCTTGCAATTGAAATATTTGGGATGGGTGTATAGAAAATAATTTAAAAAATAAATAAAAAAAAAAAATGAAAATTGAAGACGTAGAAATGAAAAAAGTATCTAATATTTATACATAGTTAGAGTGCAGATATTTATCCATTTATGGGAAATTTGAATGTGCAAAAATGTGCAGAATGCACATGAGTACATATCCAGAATATAGCATTATGGTATTTCGAGGATGAAACAAATCTCTATTTGGGATCTATTTCTTTAGTTGTATTCATAAATTACATTAATTACTGGTGTTTATGAATTGCTTAATTAATCGAGTCAAGCATGGCCAGAAAGGTACTATTCTTGCACTAAATAATATCAAATAATTCTTTAAACAAGAAAATTACAGAATCATGAAGAAAATGAAAACGTAATTATCGAGATAGTTTGAACTGTCAAGTTAATTAATTCAGAGTGAAATAGTAATTAGTATCGTTCCCTTGTACAGACTGCTTAAACCATCTTTGACTAAAATCCAACAAGTGGAAAGATGCAACCAATACCTGCTAAAGGAACAATTATGAACAAAAGGTTAATCGAATCTTCACCCTAAATAATCTTGAACGGGATTGAATTAGCATCGGCACGTTTCTCCATAAATCACCGCCAGTTTCGCCGGAATATTCTGGCATTCTTTCGAACAATCCTAGCGGAACGTTGTCCGGAAGAAAGGGTTCGCTGCCAAGCATGCTTGGAGCGATCTCGAAGCTGTGGCAACGCGACACAAAGACCGTTTCATTTGTAATACTGCGGAAAGTTTCGTCCTGTCTAGCGCAGAAAGGGCTAGAGAGAAGCTAGGGTGGGAAACTTTTGAGAGTGGAACCTCTTCTCTCTCTGTCTTCCCCTCTTCTCTTTTTTCTCGCTCCTCTTTTTCCATTTTCTTCTTGTTTCTCCCCCCTCCCCCTCCCTCTGTACTTACTACCATACTTATACAAATGCACATACACACATGCATACAGATACACGTATATACTTGACGATCGAGCAATGAAAAAACTGACCTGCTCGCAGTTTCGGCACGTAATGCCGGCCAGGGGTTGCAAAAAGCTGCAGGCGCGTGCAGCGGAAGTGCGGGAGGGAAAGGGGTGCAAAAGGGAGCAAAGGGCGAGAAAGAGAGGGAAGAGAGTGGAAGCGAGGCGAAAAAGGCGATTAGGTCGCCTCAACCCTCCGTCGAGAAAAAATTCAGATCGCGGTGAAATAGTTTTAGGATCTCTCGAAATTCTCACCCCTTTTCCGAGTTGCTGTTTTTTTCTTCAACTCGTTTGTTTGGTTTTCTAGTGGAACGTGCTCAAACTATTATGATTTTGTTAGATTTTATTACTGGATACTATCGCAGGTGCGAAGTATGCATACTGTAGACTATGACTTGATTGGATCAGATGTTATTTAAATGAACTATTTACTGAAAGATGTGATTCAAGGTATGATTACACGGTATGATGAGTACACGGTAATAATTTCAGTGATGCTCGTGTTATATAAAATTAGAGTTATGGATACTTGTAAGTTGGTAGACTTTTTTATTCTCAATTTTTGTAATCTTTATTGGAGTTAATTATAATTAGGTACCCTGATTTTTCTTCTATATATTGCAAATGAATATCTGGAAAAATATAATAGAATGCAAATGAGAAGATACTAATCCAGTTAAGCCAGAATGCGTTAATTTTATATTTATCTATATTATCAATCTTTGTAGTATCAACTTTATATTGAAGTCACATTTGGTTACATTTACTTAAATATATTAATAGCTAATAAATACAAGAACAGTATTACAAAATACTAACAATACTACAAAGTGATGTATCAACTAAAACTATCAAAATATTAACTTCCAGTACACATCTACCCTTTCCAAATGCTATTCATCATCAAGTTGAACCAAAAGTTAGCATCCCTATCATGCACCATGTAAAAATGAGCTCTCTTGGAGGTAGTGGAAAGCCTGGAAAGAGCCCCCGGGAAGTTTATCGATCCCCAGCCGAATAGGGCTGATTATTCGGTTTCAGAAGACTGGTAGGAATCGGCGTATACGAGGATCCGGTTGAAAATCGGCGAAAGGACGAAGAACGTAGCGACGATATCGGGGTAGGCGCGGTATGGAGAGAGGAGGCACGGAAGAGAGTTTGGGGTAAAAATTTCTAGAACGAGGCGAACGGGTGCAATGCACCGGTGTACGCGATATACGCTCGACGATCAATAGCCACCCCACCTTACTCAGCCGGCGGCGCATGAATGAACCTCGCCTTTTACACACTACTCGGTAGTAGTAGCTCTCTCTACTCGCGCGCGCCGCCAACGAGCTGCAACGCCGCTGCCTTCGGCCGTGTGCAGCGGTTTTCAATGCTCCTCTCTTCGCTTTGGCCGGATTTAGATGAAATTTAATCGACGTGGTAATTAACACCAATCGAATGTTAGCTGGAAATTTGATGAATTTAACAACTTTTATTTTTGTCCTTGTAGGTGTTAAAGTTGGATGCTCCATTTGGAAATGGTACCTCTATCGAAGATATTCAAGATGTGTATAAGTGAAACAGAATATAAAATCCTGTGTTTGACTCGGATGAATAAATCGAGAAGAAAGCCTTTGCCAAAGGATTTCTCTTCGTAGCTGCAGGTGTTAAAATTACATATTCTATTTTGAAATAATGATATTGTTGAAGATATTGAAGATGTATGTAGATGGGATTTTGTGTTAGATATGGGTGAAATTTAATGGGAGATCAATATAAAATTACGTAGCTGTTGAATTTGGAAGCGAACAAAAGTGATCCTTCTTGGGGTTTGCAGGTATTGGAATTAGATATTGGTAAAAATGTAGGTGAAGTATTATAACTAATTATAAGCAATCTAAAGCTTGATCTAAATGAAATTTTCATAATTTCTTTTATACGTACATTATTTCTCGTTGTGTATTATTATGCTGCTGCCGAATGACTTGTTTATAAGTACTAATTGTCTCCATGTGTTGTTTTAATAGAACATAACTTGGTGGTGGTTGTAGAAAGGCACTACATTACGAGTTTCCGTAATGGGTAAAAATATCTGTTTCTTCAACCAAATTGCACGAACCACTCTTAATTTATATAAACTTAATTGATTATGCAATGATTTGGTTTAAAATGAACAAAGAAAGAAAAGAATGGAAATCGGTCCCGATACAAAGTCGGATGAATTCGTTCGAACACTCATTCGAGCTTTTTATACGCAGCTCGAACAAAACATGGCCCAATTTTTCAGTTCCCCGATAATCGGTGCCATAGAGCTGACCTATCTTTTTTTATTTGCTTCGTCACGTGACCGATCAGATCCTTCCATTTATTCTTCCAACATTTCACTCTGCACTGGCAAAAGAAATTTAAATATATGTAGAAATAATGAAAAAGCCTAGGTATGCTAATTCTGCAATATTAAAAAACATTATTTAAAATATTCTTTTATTTGTATAATTTTTAGATTGACCGTAATTAGTATGGGATTGACGCATTCCACAAAGATACAGGTTGAGAACCATCTGTTTAGAGTGCACTTGCAAGACACACAGCGCCGTACATAGTTGGAACGTTAGCCTCATATCCACCCACCACGTTATTACCGACAACTCCCAGTTATACGCTTAATGTGCGAGCTGAATTCATCGCGCGCGATTGTGCGAACTCGAAGATCATCCTTCTCGAGGAACTTTTAAAAGTTGCAATTGGTACATGCAACCCTGCATCTCTCATCTCTTTCTGTTAGATAAACTACGGCTTTCTTCATCGATGAAAAACTTTGAAGCTCAACCCTTTATGATATAAATTATATGTAACATTTAATGCAATACATGCAATGTATTTTAAAATTAGAACATTGGAACTTGTGGATTTGGTAATGCACTTACATAGAACTTAAATATTCTTGGTGAAACTTGGAGGTTTCTTTTAGTGCAATCCAGGAGATTGATTGTTATAAGGAACGAACTCTAAAAATATAGAGATTCTCAGATCGAATGATATTTTAGTATAAATTTTCATATTTTATTTTATTTTCTTACACTAGCTTGCGCTCGTTAGCCATTTTCCACGTAAACCGATAGAACTGATATTCTGTGTCACTGAGTCAGAGAAGTTTGAGCTATATTGATTTCCCTTCACATTCCTCGAATCTGTCCGCGTATTGGCATTGACGATTCGCCTGGTATCATTTTCTCGCAATTTCATCTCTTCAGGGACAAGAATCTTAAAGTTAAGAAAGAAAAGATTGACATTTCTTATTAGTCAATATATCTCTGTGTTATTAAAAACTGAAGATATTCATAGTCCAATTAATGGAGGTTGATCTTTTATGGGGAAACAATCTTAAGATTTCCAAAATAATATTTTTACAAATGAATCTGCACTTCTTAGAAAATTAATGAAAATCACAAAATCTTTGATCTATTACCTACTTCATTTTCATTGTGTATATTTCTTTGAAAATTCTAGTTTCTCTCAGAAGATAGCTAATGGTACAAATTTCTTTGGATAAGCAAGCGATATGTTATCTGGAAGTTGGATGAAGGAGCTTGGTATTTGCACAGTAGCTAAGCCAAACGGTAAACATCTGGTACATATTATGCTCCTCTGGTAACTGTTCGTCGTAAGTTGCCGAGCAAATAGAACTGCAGTCTTTAAGGGCAACACTGATATACTCCTGAAGCAGCGTCAAAAAACCACAGATGAGAAGAGGAGGTTTCGATTAGTCACCGTCGTGACTTGTCAGTGTGACTAATTACAAATTATTTCATACAGAACATAGCTGCTAAAAACACAATCGATTCTTTTGATAATGCGTTAGGGAGATAGAGAGTTACAAAGTTAATTACGATTGATGGCCATCATCGATGAAAATGTCGGCGATTAAATTGCATTGCTGAGCTGGGAGCCCATTGTGGATAGTAGTCACTAACACGTTTATTCTGCTAGAAAATTAAAGTTTTGATTAAGCTTGAGACTGGGTCAAATAATTATGATAAAATAGGATAGGAATTATTCTTTTAAACATCTAATTAATTTTTCTAATTTCTTAATTTCCTAATTTCTGAATTTCTCATTAAATTTATCATATTTACCTTGTTTTTTAAATTCCAAGTCAATTTTGTCTATAATATCTTCGTAATATGTTTTCCAATTTTTTTTTTGACTCACCTAATTCTTCAATTTTTAGATTCCTACAATGAAAATTTAACTTCTGTTTACCATCCTCTGTAGCAATTAATAATCTCGCACACAAGATGCTTTCTGTAACAAGAAAGGGGTAACATCAATGATATCTATAAAAAGTGCAACAGTCGAATAGAATAGATGCACTAGCTTTGTACCGTTTGAAACCACGATTTCGAAAGATTATGTGGTCTTATCTACCACGTTTTATGTTTTACATCCGTTCACGTTCACGTTTAATTAGCAAGGAACACGAGACCGATACTTATAACCTGCCATTGTAATGTCCGTCAGATAGGATGCGTGGGTGAGCACTTTCCTTTTCGTAGGTGCCATTAAACAAGCCGCGCCGCTGTCGCCCATCATTTCGATCGTATACCTGGTCGAACATGATTTTCCACCACACCTCATCCCGCATATCTGACGATTAAACGATCAACTATTTTAAAAAAGCTGTTACACGTGCAAGAGTTCTATGGTACTGTGGAACTAATTAATTGTCATATTTTATCTTATGGAGCTATGGAATATTAACTATAGAATATTTAACTTATAAAATATTATGGGCTTGTGAAAATTGAATTAAAATGTTATGGCTGTTATAAACTTTAATGATGCACCTTTAAGATTGAATTCTGAATTTCTATGGTAGTGAGGATATGGGATACATACATTTTTTGGAACGAATTATAGTGGTAGTTTGGAAAAGAAAATGTTTGAGGTGGTTTCCTCGGGGTTTCTAGTTTCTCAGTTTATATTAATTTTCCTAGCTTCCTAGGTTTCTCGCACTATATTAACTTCCTTGGGTTTCTAGTTTTGCGTTAACTTTTCGAGTTTCCAAGTTTCGTTATTTCCTTGTTTTTCTACTCTTTCAATTTCTTACTTTCTAACTTTTATGTGACTCATATCTAATTTTTATAATAATGAAATATTAAAGTGTAGAATGATCTAGCCAAAATCCGTGTAAGTAATTTCAATTTACCACTGTCGACAGAAGTAGACTCGAACGGGAAGAGGAGTCGTCGGTTGTAAAGAATGATCGATCTAACGAAGGGTATAGATCGTAATACCGCCTCACGTGAACGTACTTTAAATTTGCGTATGAATGAAGCCATTCGCGTGCAGTGATGATTCAGATGGGGCCAACGTGTTCCACCCCTTCTCGTCACGCCCTCTTCACATTTCTTTCTCCTTCTTTGTAACGCTTTTATCCGACTATTTGTTTTTGTCCGTCTAGCAGAACGGGCTGCCTTCTTCTTCAGCTTTTTACCTTTCTTCATTTCACATGAAGTTCTCAGTAGTTCTGGCAGAAAATGCTGAATCCAATTTGGATACGTATACTCTTCGCGCTCGTTGTCCTTGCATCTCGTTATTAGAATATCGTTACAGAGTATAACTTAATTATTACTTTATTAATTCCTTATTACAATTATTTTTTAGATAATTGTATCGAGTCGAAGATATCTATCTGTAAAAAGATTTAAAGGAAGTTAAAAGTTGATCGAATATTTAACGAAAATGCAGAAAATTATAATTGTTGCGAGACACCTTTGGCTGTTCCTTTAACGTTATCGGGGCACTATTGTGCACGTATAATTGACGGCGGGCAAGCGTTAAGAATGCAAATTGCACGATACCAAAAGGCCATTCAATCGCAAACATGCGTATAACTATGCAGCCGGCTTGTATTTACATACTTATGCAACTCTATCTTCGCGTGTATCTACTTGCTTTTTCAGATTTCGGGTTCTGGAAGTTCGAGATCCTGATAATCTCAATATGGCTAGTTCGTGCTTCGTTTAATTGGAGCTTACGCTGTACTTGAACGACCACTGAAGAGAAATTATGCTTTAAAATAAAAACAGAGATGCATATAATCTGATAAATACTAACTGATGAAAGATTTGGTTAATTGATGAATCTTGATTTATGGTAATTAATTCGGTATTTTAATGCAGTAGTTTTAGTTCATTAACATTGACATAGGTGATTTTAAGTCTTTAAGAGTATTGTACGAAGATATTTCTTCTTCTTTCTCACAATTAAACAATAAAGTTGTAGTCATTGCTGCAATCAACGCATAACATTATTATGCGTTAGCCAACATTATTAAACTATGTATATGTCCATACTTAAACGTGTATAGCTGTATTATAGCTTTCTCTGTTTAATTTTATTCTTGGAGATATTGATGTTTCAATCAAGAGTCTGTTTAGAATTACGTTAATATTTTATGTTTCACTAATCTTCCTGTTTCTCTCTATTGTTTTTAAATCAGTAGATTCTACTTTAATAACCATTAGAGAAGCTTAAGACTTAAACTTCTGTGAAAAAAATTTTGGTGTTCTTTGGACTTCTCTCTCTTTGGACTTCTATTCACTTATTTATTACTTATCTGTTCATCATATCAAGTAACCATGATATAGAACATGTAATAAATTACATTTACGCTGAATCACTGTTTCTTGGTTTTAGACATTGAAGAAGCAAATACAAATCGATGACGAACATAAACAATGCAATGCATATTCTTATCTATGAAGTAAAATTGTTTGTTAAAAAGGGCCAATTGGATTATTAAGTAAAAACAATTGAAAATAAATTGGAGAAACATCGTGAGACTACTAGTAGTGAAACAATAATTCTTTATCCCGAGACACGAGATTATTATCAAGTCACGGAATAAAGTGACGGTAGCTCATTATTACGCAGGCATTGCGCATTACATACTTCCAGCTCATACTATTAAAATAGTAATGCGGCGTTATAGGTAGAGAGATTCTCCTCGGCTGTGCTAAATATCTCGCTCTCGAGAGAATAATGTTTCCTCACGGATGATTCTATTCCCTACTTTGTCGTGTTTCAGTATCATACCGTTGTCGACTATTCCAATTATACTTAATTAGCTATTTAGAGAAAAACCTGTATGGGGATGAGAAAATGATGCCCTTTGGATCATATCTAATTCTTCCATTTCGAAGAACAGTATTTATTCAGAAATGAAAAATATTCTTTATTAAAAACGCTCACAATTAATTAGTAATCGTGTTGGATTAATAAATTTGTGATTAGAATTGTAACGATAGTCAGGATATAAGAAAATGTTTATAGTCTTAAAAATCTAATGAATTTGAACTCTAAATAAAATTTAATAATCTAACTAGACAAAATTTGTCAGAAAGGAGGATATTAAAATTACTTTTATTTTTTGTACCATCATTTTCATATTAACATACGGAATTTTTTTATTCTTTGTTTTAGTTGAGTGTCCTATATTTTTGTGTCACAAGGTATCTCCACTACCGAGACATCAGATTTCGCTTCTTTTGTCTTCAGTTTTCAAGCTAGTCGGAGATACTGCATCTTTGTGGATTATTTTCCAACTATCCGGGTTTTCTTTCTCTGCAAGTTCCCATTAACGAGTACATAATACCGATCGAGATGCATTTTATTCACATCGGTCGCATCTCTGCGATCCACTGATCCGTATTTCCTTCTTTCCCTTTCTTCAGAGAGAGCTTAATCCCCCGTATGTCGATGTTACAAAAATTTTACCTGCCCAATAAAGCTTCAGGCACGATTTCACGTTCGTCAAGCTTTCATGAGTCGATAACATCCCCGACGTTGTCTTGGATCCCACTATTTATAGGTTCCCATTGCAACTCGAGCAATAATCAAGTTTGGCTTTCGTCTGTATCTGGCACATTCAGCTTGTCCTCGTTCTTTAGTTCACGACGTCGTTTTTCCTTGCTTAGAACTCGATAGTTGTGTTCAGTATAGTTAATGAAAATCAGAAGAGCTCGTCTCTTCAGTGATAAAAAATTGTCAGTGAGTCTATTGGAATTTTTATTAAATATTTTATTAGAAAGCTTTTGTTCTTGGCTTAGAATAAGGATATATGGTATCACATTTTTATTCATGTTAAAAGATTTGAATGTTCTTTGATAATGAAGACAAAGTTTCTTTGTATGAATACGCTTTACAGTGCAACATTCCCCGGCTAAAAATAATCGACAAGTTGTTGGTGGAGAGTTGGTGGTTTTTTGAATTAAAAGGCTCCTCGGCTTGATGGGAACATGGTGTCGTGAGATTTACGAGTGCAATCTGTACCCTCTGTTCGAGAATTTCTCGTGAATCTTTCACCATAAATACGATATAAAATATGAACATTGAGCGCATAAAAGGCCTGAAAAGTATCTCATTAGCATTTGATCTTGAAGAAATGAGTCAAATTTTAATTTTGGATCAAGAAGAGGACCTACTTCTGACATTATCTGGACGTCGTCTACTTTTTAAACGTGACATTTCCTCTCATGATTTTTTAATTAATTCACATTCAGATCACGAAGAAGGGAGTATATTCTCCTATATCTTATCTATTCACCAAATTTCTTAAATGCCTAAATTCGTATATCGATCCGCATAATTGTTTCTTTGCCGAGTTTATAAAATTTCCTAGAATTTACCAAATATATTTCAATGTTTCAGAATTATTTGAACGGCAGAATTGCAGAAATTTCTGTCATCGTTTTTGAATCGACCTATATCGCCTAACAGTCTCGAACTGATAATAATAATCAAGCGGGACGAGAGTCTGCGCGATTCCTAGCGACGAACTCGCGATTTCCCAGCAGGCCTGTCATTTCTCGAACAACCGTTAGGAGAATGTTGGAAAATGGAACGTGCAGTGGATATAAATAAACCGATGATCGCATATCTAAATATCCGAAGAAATGAACGAACAAATTCGGGTAATCATAGTTTAGGCGAAAGTAGATCATTTAGCCGAATAAATGCTTAATTATTACTTGCTACGGATGGGTCTAATTATTTTCCATGGTTGAATGGCAAGAAATTAAGCGGAACCGTCCCGTTACATTTCTTCGTGAATCTTTAGAAAACATAGTTAACTGGATAATCAGAGTAATTGTTAGCCAGTAAGAGTTTCTACATTAACCAGACGTCGTACTAAAATTGTTGAGAATTCTGGCTACACCGATTTTGTGCTTCTTTCATCCTGACAAGCTGTAATTGCAAATTATAGTTGGCTATTCATTTTCTTATGCTTACTAAACATTTTTATCGCGTGTAACTAATAATTAGAAAACCATTAATTTAGGAATGTGGTATTTACTTTTCAGTCTTGCAGAATTCCATAATGTAAGGCCAAATATTATAAATACCAATCAGTTTCAATGTGTTTTCATTTAAAATCGCTGTGTTAGTTAATTATTAATGACACATAATAGTATCATAAATTCATAATTTTGATGATCAATAAAATATTAGATACAGAGAGTGATGTTTCTAGGTATAATGATAGGGAACAATTTCAAAGAAAGAACATGTTTTATAGAAATAAATCGTACACTCGAATGCTGTTGCGCATTAATTTAATTCGCTTCTGTAATTTGCAGAGGCGGAACTTGTGCTATTTACAATTGACAGTAGAAAGTGTCTTACAGCGGGTTTCAAGTGTTATTTCTTCACCAAGGGAAATGTTCCATTGTTGCCCGTAGGTTTCTCAAGCGACCTGTTAACAGGTGCAAGAACATTCAGAACTTTTGAATTTTTGGGAGATAGAGAAATTAATTAATAGAAATTAAACTCCTAGGAAAAGATTATAACATCTATGAGTCTCATGCATTTAGAACTAATATTCTTCTTCGTTTCGGTACTCAGAGAAATTAACCACTGAAGTTTCTACTGCAATCGTGCCTGGCGTGTTCTATGACTACTGAAAAAGCAGATTCTTGTATCTTGGATGTACAATTTTCAGTAATTCAAACATTAAAATATTATGCTGAATTTATACATCATACAAGAATCCCTAAGTTTAGCAACTTATATTTAAAATAAAATTCAATTGAAAATTATATTCGAGACCTGAGTGCAATTATAACGGGTTTCTTATATTTGTTATATCTTAGTACTTAAACGAGCGAGATCTCTGAAACAACATTGAGTTCCAGAATTAAAATCAAATCTATATTCTCTTTATCGCAGGTTCAACGAATCGTTTCCGGAGAAAGATTCAGCCAGTTGAACACGATCTCACGCAAATTGCCTCGTGAAAGATGCAAAAGACGAAAAAAAGGGATGAGGAAAAAAGGATGAATCGTGGCGAATAGAGTTTCGCCGGTCGGTGTATCTATCGATTCCATGGTTGCGTCACGATGTCGCCGGGAACACACTATCGGAACAGCGATAATTTCCAAGCGATATCGATCGCGTAACGCGATGCGTACGTAAGATGAGATTTAAATTCGCGTGCGGACATACAGTTTAGGCACAACGGACTCCAAGGGTTATGCAGCTGCAGTTTGTTAGAAGTGCATGAACCTCTCCGGAGCACTGATTCAGATATTACAATTTACATGTTTACCAAGAGAATAGATAAGAAACGCGATTTCTCTTTTATTATATGAAATATATATGTTGGACAGCAATTGAAACTAGATAATTTTTAAGTAATTCTTGATAGTAAGACACCCCTTGTATCAGTATGAGAGTGTAGAATGTTGAGATAGTTCAAAGTGGGTCTATAAAT